ACGAGAGAGGCTAGAAAAGGCAAATATAGGGAAATACAAATTGCAAACAAAGGCAAAAGAAGGCACTAAAAAAAGACAAAAACCGAAAAATAATCAAAAAATAAAAAAATACTTATCTTTTAGAAATGTTTATTTTACAAGTAAAGAAAAGCTATGAACTACATAGTTTCATTATATGAAAAATTTTTTCTTTGAATCTTTGACTATTCTCTCCTTTCGAATTTTAAACTCACAAAACTTTAATCTCTATAGTTGTAATAACATTGAACCACAAGAAGCATTTTGAAGTTTTCTGGCAGCGTTTTCATACGATTTTCACGAACATAATCCTTGAATGTACTAAACGTGCGCTCAACGTGAGTGGATGCGAGTGGCGTCCAAATTAAATATGCAACGTTTAAATTAAAGGTAAAAAATATGTTTAAAAAAGGCAACATCAAATGTGTATATATGGTATCAGGGAAAGCTAAATCATGAACATTCTTAATCGAACATACTCTGTCCCTTTAGCGGAACAAAAGGCAATTTCCATAAAATCCCTCCCTGCTAATTAGTGTCACCAAAAATAAGAGAGGCAATTAAGAATGACGAAAACATGCATCCCAAGGTAAACGAATGGGTATTCTATAGCAGAGAAATTAACAAACAATTTTTGTTTACTTTGTCTATATTACGCTAAACATTACCAATGCTGGATAGATACATATGTACATACATATGGGCTTAATCACCTTGTGGGTGTCGGGTGCGATTCAACGGGCACGAATGTTCCGACATTACTTTATGCATTAGAAACATTGCTTTTTCGCACTGGGTATGTCCATATCTACATACATTAAACATATTTATGTATGTGTGCATTTCGGTTATTTCCTTTGGACAAATTTCATGATTTTCCGAACACTTTAGCTGTGGAAGTCATTATTACGCACAACCCCGCCATATACATACGTACATATGTATGTATGCACATAAATATCTGTTATGTACTTATGTATGTACGTATGTATGTCATTGCGCTTTTTTATTGTTGGCTGTGACTCCATTCATGCAATCAATCATTTCTGCCTTCAATTTGTTGTTGAATTTTCTTTATACAGTTGATTAACGCAATCGTCAGCAGTTGTTGTTGGTTGGCTAATGATCGTCAATTGCTGCGACTGTTGTTTTTGTTATTGTCTTAGGTGGTTATTGAGTTTCTAGCAGTACATGCGATAGTTATAGCTTTCTGCGGTAGGAGCACCGGGTACATTGTTCCTAGCCATTATGAAGCTTTGGCAGGATTTTGTATCTGTTCTTAATATTTGGTAGTTATTACTGATTAATATTAAAATAAAATAAGCACATACATACTTAGTAAATTCACCTAACACATCGTCCAACAGATTAGAAGAAAATAGGTGATTTCACTCTCTCGTAGTTTTCGGACTATTTTGTACGTGAGATTGCTGTCCTTTCATTGGTGACGTCCTCCTTGAAACTTAGTTGGACACCGAAAGTTCGTAGAAAATTTTATAATTTAAACCAGATGGTAAGTATCGGATAAAAAATCATTTTGATTCCATAGATTCTCAAAGAACCATTGTTTTCTTGTTTTAATTAAGAAACAAAGTGGAAATGAGTAGAGTTGCGAGGAAGTCAAAATTCCAGAACAATATTTTTTTTTTATACGGCGTTTTTTTCAGCAAATAGCTCGGTATGTATGTATGTACATAAGTATGTACATGTAT